TGCTAAAATGTCTACATCACACAAAGCAGTATTACAGATTCAATGCAATCCCTATCAAAATACCAATGACATTCTTCACAGAAATAGAAAAAACAATATTAAAATTCATATGGGAGGGCAAAAGATCCCAGAGAGTCAAAACAACCTGAGCAAAAAGAACAAAGCCGGAGGCATCACATTATTTTATTTTAAAATTATTCTACCTGGGTGCAGTGGCATACCTGTAGTCCTAGCTACTTGGGAGGCTGAGGTAGGAGGATTGTTTGAGGCCTGGAGTTTAAGACTAGCCTGGGCACATATAAAGCCCCTGCCTCTAAAAAGTTTTTTTTTCCTTAACTAGCCATCTATGGTAGCATATGCTTGTAGTCTTAGCTACTTGAGAGGCTGACACAGGAGGATCACTTGAGCCCGAGAGTTTGAGACTTCAGTGAGCTTAGCTACAACACTGCATTTCAGCCTGGATGAAGGAGTGAGACCCCATATTAAAACACACACACACACACACACACACACACACACACACACACACACACACGCACACACGACAAAGCCATAGTAAACAAAACAGCATGGTAACGGCATAAAAACATAAAAACAGACACACAGACCAATGTAACAGAATAGAAATCTAGGAAATAAATCCATGCATTTACAGACAACAATTTTTGACAAAGGTTCCAAGAACACAAATTGGGGAAAGGACAGTCTTTAATAAATGGTGCTGGAAAAATCAAATATCCACATGTAGAAGAATGAAACTAGATCCCTATCTTTTACCATATATAAAAATCAACTCTAAATGAACTGAAGACTTAAATGCAAGACCTGAAAATATGAAACCACTAGAAGAAAATATAGGGGAAGCACTTCATAAAATTGAATGTTTGAATAAGAACTCAAAAGCACACATAACAAAAGCAGAAACAGATAAATGGAATTGCATCAAACTAAAAAACTTTTGTACATCAAAGGAAGGAACTAATAATAAGGTGAAGAGACAACATAGAGAATGGCAGAAAATATTTGCAAATTATCTAACTGATAAGGGGTTAACATTCAGAATATGTAAGAAATTCAAACAACTCAGTAGCAAAATACAAATATAATAATAATCTTATTTTTTAAATGGGCAAAAGACCTAAATAGATATTTCTCACAGAAAGACATGCAAATAGTCAACAGATATGTAAAACAAAATGCTGAACATTACAAGTCATCACAGAAATGCAAAGTAAAACCATAAATGAGTTTTCACCTCTTCCCAGTTAGAATGGCTATTATCAAAAAGACAAAAAAGTAACAAATGCTGGAGAGGATGTGGAGAAAAGGGAACTCAAACACTGTTAATGACAATGCAAACTAGTATAGTCATTATGAAAAACAGTATAGAGGTTCCGCAAAAAATTGAAAATAGAACTAACACATGATCCAGCAATTCCATCGCTAGGTTCGTATTCAAAGGGAATGCAATCAGTACATCAAAGAGACATCTGCACACCGATATTTACTGCAGCGCTTTTCACAACAGCCAAGATATGGAATCAACCTAAATGCCCATCTAATTATTATTGGATAAAGAAAATATAAATGCTATAAATAACAGATGCTATATATATATAATTCAGCTATAAAACAAAATGAAATTCTGTCATTTGTGGTAACATGAATGAATCTGGAAGAGAGTATATTATGTGAAATAAGCCAGGCACAGCAAGACAAGTACAACATAATCTTATTCATATGTGAAATTTTTTAAAAGATTATTTCATAGAAGCAGAGAGTAGAACAGTAGTTACTAGAAGCTGAAGCAGGGCACTGGGAGAGGTTAGTCAGTAGGTACAAAGTTATAGTTAGTTAGGAAGAATATGTTGTGGTGTTCTATTACACAGCAAATGATGTATTGAGTATTTCAAGGTAGCTAGAAGAAAAGATTTTTAATGTTGTTACCACAAAGAAATGATAAATGTTTATAGTGATGATATGGTAATTATACTCATTTGATCATTATACTATATATACATTCACTGAAACATCAAATTTTACCTCATAGATATGTATAATTATGTGTCAATTATAAATTTAAAAAACAAATGATATCTGTATCAATATAAAAATTAAAAAGAGCCGGGCTCGGTGGCTCAGCCTGTAATCCCACGCCTTTGGGAGGCTGAGGTGAGTGGATTGCCTGAGCCCGCGGTTTCGAGACCCGCCTGGGCAGCGAGACCTCATCTCCACAATAAATCAAAAAATCAGCCAGGCGTGGTAGCGCATGCCTGTACTTCCGGCTACTCGGAAGGCTGAGGTGGAAGGATCGCCGGAGCCCAGCAGGTGAGGCTACGGTGGCCGGGAGCGGCCACTGCACTCCAGTCTGGGCGACTGAGTGAGACTACAACTCAAAAAAAAAAAATTAAAAAGAGAAACTGAATAATGGCACAAGCTGTCTAAAACTTAACCACAAAACCAAATACTTGGTGGTGGCCATTAACACGCACATATGTTCAAATTCTTACCCTTCTATGCAACCTCCCTGACAAAAATATTATGGGTTGGTGTATGGTTAACCCAAGAACATGTGAATATGTCTGTGATAGTTGACAATGTATATGAATAAAGTCGTTTGCTATCAAAACAGATACTGCAGCGGGTTGTGGATGTTCAGGCTACAGGGTTGGGGCTGGAGGAGGATTGGTGTCAACAAGAGGTAGGGTGAGGGGCACATAAGGTCCCTGGATGTTAGGCAGTCAAGTCAGACCAAGGAATGAGTGACCTGAGAGTATTCCTTTCAGAGGGTTGGAATAACCATTTCACTGCAAAGACCTTCCTTGGAATTACCTGGAAAACTGAAGCTGACTCCCCTAAGTGATTCTGCCTTGCACATTACTGGGAAGGGAAATCCAAGCAAAGGGTGCCAGTCTTAACTGTACAGATTCAAAAAATACTTGCTAGAAATAAAAGTTATAACTTTGTCTTTCTTCTTCTTTCTTTTTTTTTTAAGGAAAAAAAAGTTCACTGAAGTTTTCTTGTTAAGAAGCCTTTGCTATCCTGTGCCTCTGGAATGAAAAGTAAGATCTTGTTCAGTTTCTCCATTCCCTAATGTCTCCCTCTTCGAAGCTTAAAAAAATAGTCTGTATTCAAGTGAGTCTCAAGTTGGATTATTCTGTATATGTGGCTAGAAATTCACTAATAAAAAACCACCCTCTAATCTTCTTAAGATGCCCCCAGTGGGACAAGACTAAAGAACTCCACTGGAAGGGGCCCCAAACAGTAAGTGTTAAGATCCTTTTATCTCGAGAGGCCAGGATCCAGTCAGTCTTACCTGAGAGAAGCTACATTGCTGATGCAGCTCAGTAGAACCTGTTGGCTAAGAATTGACTGTCAAGCAAGAATTTGGACCACAGCAGTGAGATGAACGCCCCCCCCGCCGCCCCAGGAGGAGGGTAAGTGTTTCCCAAGCAGCATCTCTGCCTGCTCTGCTATCTGTTGCATCTGCAGATGCTCAGGCAACAGCCTCAGCCTGGAATACCAATATCCATCTCCTCCTTCTAACAGACTCCTATTTCATAGACTAGTTTCGTTGCCACATGTGTATATTCTGCCAAGGCTGAATAAACCACCCCTGTACCCTGCTTTTGCACTTAGTGTTCTAGAGTACGGTTACTATTGTTACTGGTAAGTTGGTCTCCCATGTCAGACTGTGAGCTCCTTGAGGTTAAAGGTTATATCTTATCCACATATAACTCCTTGGGATTTAACACAGATCATGACACACAGTAAACTCACAGAATAAATTTCTCTTTAGAATATGGGGCCAAAATTAGCCACTGCTTCAGCCACCTTCCTATGTGAAGACCCACAAGTAAAGGGGTTTAGAAAAACTGAGCAAGGTCAAAGGCAGATGAAGTAGAGGGTCCTGCTCTCAATGTTTTCTCATATTCAGCTACATAGGTTATTCTATACTTTGCCACTCAACCTTGGGCAAAAGAAACATATAGAAATAGACTATCGAGTCATCTGAGTACTAAGTTATGACTTAGAGCCAGGATGGAAGCTAGGTTCTATTTCCCAGGCCTATGACTCTGGGCAAGTCAGTTCCTCTCTCTGAGTTCTTAGGTCCTTCTCTGACAATGGCAACAACATATACAGCCATTAAAAATAATAATCATAACAACCATTAAATCTATAAAAATCAATGGAAAGTATTATAATAGCAAGCAAATAAAGTAGAATATAAAAGTGTTTACACATTTCAATTGAAATTATATTTTAAAAATCTGTACCTGAACAATAACTGAAGGATAATGTACAAATGAAAATTATATTACTGAATGGAACTATGGAGAGTTTTCTCAAATATGTCTTTATTATTACTATTAGATCAAATTTTCTTTTAAAAAATAAAATTGAGGAGCGACCTTACAGGGTTGACATGGATAGTGTGCAAATTAAAGACCTTTTTACATTTTGAAGAAGTGCATAATTCTTCATTCGTGGTTACCTTTATTCTTATCAATACCATTGTACCTGAAAGAAAAATTATTTCTAAAAATGGCATGAGAGATACATACCCTTCCAGACTTATAAAGCCTGTACAATTTGAGATCCCTTTCAAGGCCAACTTAACTTATATAAAGATCTTTGAAAAAGATAGAAATTTCCATACTTAAGCAATACAGGAGATGAGACTCCCTTCTAGGAAGCTCCAAGTGGTTTCCTCTCCTGGGGTTCCCTGTGAAGAAGGCAAGAAGAGACAGTGTTCCCACGGTAAGCTGGGCTTAGCATAGAAGGTCCTTCTAGAGCTGATGGGATCAGCATAGGGTGGGGGACACTAAGTCCCCAGATGCAGAGCCGCTCCTTACTTATGCAGGTCCTCAGCTCTTCCTTTAGATACACCTAAAAATGTTGCTTAGTCGTGGAAGCCTCATAAATATGGGTATTGAAAACAATTCTGAGACCCTGAGGAAATCCATTTCACGAAGATGCAAAAACTATTCCAGTCTTACCCCTTGTCCACGCTGGCATGGACTGCTGCAACCACACCTTCCAGGACCTGGAGTGGGTCTCTTAACTCTCCGAGGTCAGCACTACCTTCACTGTGAAAAGAGAGGCAAATCAATTCAGACAAGGACCACTCAGGCTTCAGAAATAAACTTGGGATTTATGATAAGCTTGTTGGATTTTGGCTATTACACTGTCTGCCCATAGTCATTTGTGCTATGTGATGTCTACAAATGTGCCAAGTCCTAGGCTGGGTGCTAAGGATATAAAAATGAAATATTTTCTGTTCTTAGGGCACTCAGTCTACTATATGCATGTTCTCCTATCAATAGAATAACACAATCTACTTGCATTGTCATTCAAAAAACATTCACTAACATTAAATATATAAGGTATTTTAAGCATCAAATATGTAATAATGATCTAAATCCTCTAGGTGAACTTATTTTTAAAAAAATCTAATATTTGCTTGCCACTTACTAGGTACCAGGCACCGCTAAGTGGTTTATATACATTCTGCCATGTAACAAACCCACAGCCCATGGGATGAGTACTATTAATATTATTATGCCCATTTTACAGATGTTATGTGAAAAAGTATAGTGAACCCTGAAAATGCAATACAGGAAAAAACTTTAGATGAGTTTTCCAAATAGTTTAATGACAAATTAACTACTAGATTTGGTTCTTTTCATGTCTTTGTCATTTTGTGCCTCCTAAATTGTACTAGCTTCCTGGTAAATATTATGGACAGTATCAATAGCAATTTTTTTTCTTTGAAACAGAAGTAGCTGAATTACTCAAGTTCCCTTTTCCTCCAGTGCTGAGTTAATTCACTTTTACTGAATGTCTTCTGTGTGCCAATATACCATTTATTAGATCAGAAGTAAATGTTTAGTAGTAGAACTGGGTACAAGGAAGGAGAATTTAATTTATATCAAAATTTATAAATGTAAAAAATATCATATTTTATTTCAATTATGAATTAAAATGTGCAATTTTAGAAAATAAAGTAAATTAATCAAAATGCCAATTTTTCAAAATGTTTATTTTTGTTAGCATCATCTAAAACTTGACTTAAGAAATAATACAAAGATAACCATAAACCAAAAGGTACAAAATGTGACAAATAACTATCTGTCATCATTTGAAAGAGGAGAATGATTCTTATAACTAAACAACAAAAAAATCATAATAGGTTAACAGTAGAACAAAGCTTCCTGAATTTGGCATTGGTTTCTTTCTTAAAAGGTTATGATATTTTATGTCTCTCCCTATATATAAAATTACCAGTTACCTCAGAGCATTAAGGTAAAAACTGTGTAAGACTGGGGTAATTAAACTGATAAAGGCTCATTTGGTTTCAGTTCAGCTGCAGAAAACTGACATGTATTTAATCAAAAAGTTCCTCAAGAGCAATACAGAATTACAAAGAATACTTAAAAGGAGAATAAATTAAATACAACTAAATCTTTTAGCCTAATTGCATTATTCACAGAAAGCACTTGATGCCTCATTATTTCCTTAGCTTCAGTTTTTCCTCTTTTCTAATCCTCTCAGATGCATTCCTACAAAGGCACTAGCATATTGACATAAAGCAAGAATTTCTCAATTGTCGGTTTTTTGCCTTTAATTGCAGGTAAATAATGTCCTAAGACACTTAACAGATGTCTAACTTCTTCGGTGTATGATTAATCTTGCCTTCTGTACTTCAAAAGAACCTTCTGGGAACCATTTTCCCACTGCTACAAAGAAGGGGAATTAGAAAAGGTAAGATCTAAAAAGCTGCACTAAAGTCACAGGGCAGTTTGACACACAGCCACCTGCTTCATATGCCATTCTGGCCTTTCCCTTATTTCAAGAATAATTTGTGAAAGGGGGTCCAACCAGAAGTTAGCTTCTTAACATGTTACCCATAAAACCAAAGATGAAATATTTTCATGGTTCTCCACTCTCAAGATATTTTAAGACATAAGACTTTGAGAACTCTAAAAATAATCTCTCACTTCTGTAAAGTACTTCAAAACTTATAAAACACTTCCACATACGTGATGAGAGTTTAGTTTCATAACAACCACAAGGCAGGCACTATTACTGACAAATATCACCTTGTTCATCTGTGGCTTCTATTATTCTTATCAATACCATTGTGCTTGAAAGAAAAATTCTTTCTAAAAGTAGCATGAGAGATACACACACTTCTAGACTTACAAAGCCTATACATTTTGAGTCCTTAATCAAGGCAGACTTAACATATAAAAATTTTTAAAAACATAATATATATACTTTAGGAAGATTATATATATACTTTTCTGCAACGATAACTTTCTAGCTTACCTCAACATGGAAATTATTTTTATGATTGCACTCTGCACTACATCCTTGGGTGAGATGTCAAGAGGGCCAACGGCCACTTCTAGCAGCTGCTGTATCATTCTTAGAGGCTGGCCATCTAAACACATGGCCACAGCTTGATCATGAAGTTTCTCTCTGTCTGATCTGGACAGGTCATAGAGGTAACTGTATTTCTGCAGTGTTTCCTGCAAAGACATGGTAATTAACATATAGTGTTTCCTGCAAAGACATGGTAAATATCTCATAAAAACTAAATTTGTATACATGCACATAGTGAAACATATTCAGAAGATCCTCAAGCCAAATACATTATAACCAGCATCACCATACCAAAGGGAATGTATTGGTGATTAAGAGTTTAGGCTCAAAGGTCACCCAAGCTTGAGTGCAAATCCTCACTTAACCTCTTATAAGTTAATGGGCCTATGTGATCTCAGATTTCAGTATCTGTAAAATGAGGTTGAAGACAATAGGGTCTTGTGAATAGAGGATGTTGTGAACACTAGCTGACATACTATAAAAGTCAGCCCTTTAGCACATCAGGCACAAAATAATGCTTAATAAGTATGAGTTTTCCTATTACTATTATCACTATTGCACCATAACCATATCATAACTATTGAGCATCAACTATGTAATCCCAGGTATTGTACTTACATTTAATACTTAAAATAATCCTGTAAGTATTTTTAAATTAGCCCCTATCACAAAGGAAACTGAGTTCAAAGGTATTAAGTAACATGCCCAGGGTCACATGGTAGGCAATTAATGGACCTAAGATTAGAATCCCCAAATCCTCTCCCCTGTCCCCACATCACATTGTCTGCCTCTCTTTGATTATATATATAAACTAATGTTACAACAATTTAAGAAACAGGACACAAGCTATTGTTTTTTAGCATATCAAATATGGTCACTTAATGATAATAATACTTTTCAGGTTCTTTATAGCTTCTCTAGTAATTCTAAATATATTCTTTTATCTTTCAAAACAGCCATGGGAAAAATCTAATATTAACTGGATATTTGATGATATTTAAAAATTATAAATTTCTTTGATGGTGATAATGTTGTAGTGGTTATGTTTAACTCGATTTTTTAGAGAAAGATGGGGAAGTATTGAAGGATAAAATAAAGAGATGATTGAGATTTGCTTTAGAATAACCCACAGGAGTGAGGCAAGAGAAGATGGGGATATGCATGGAATAGGATTGGTGACATCTGAATAATTCTTGCAGCTGGAAGTTCGGCACATGCAGTTCCACTTAAATCGAGGTCTGAACATAAAAGGGATAAATGTTGAGGGCTGAAGGTTATTTCCAGCCTTTGCTATAAAAGTCACCTTAATAAAATAAAATAATGTCAAATTCAGAAACCACAGCAGTTTCCTATTATAGACCGTGGGTGGTCTGAATGCCCCGCATAAGGAGCTCTATGGTACTTCTCCATCACAGCCTAGATGAAACAAACAGGTGTTTTTGTTAATAACCCCTTGAATCCACATACACTATTCTAGGCATTGAAAGACAGTACTTGTTCCAAAGAGAGTAATTTTAGTTCTCTGGGTTTCAATGTAGTATATTTGATTTTAAAAATAAACAAATAAGTATTTGAAAGATTTTACACTAATAAGTACAAACAACTTTTATTTGTCTAATTTTACCCTAGTTCTTGTAATTGTGAATGTAATATTGTAAATGTCAACAGGATAGCATCAAGATTTGTAAAGTCAATTTGCAAAAGCTTCTATATTGTTCATATCATTATTTAATGTTATTTGTTAGACAAGCTAATAGGTTCTGGAAAATACAAAATGAAATAAAACTGCTTTCAAACTTCTGAATTCTTCCCATTATCTTTTCAATGAGGGGTTTGCATTTATGTGTCTCATACACATTTTGAAGTCTCCCATTTGCTCATTATCTGAATTCCTCTCCACTGACTGATGTTTTTAGTCAGGAACATTTTTCTACAAGGCAAGAACACAATTCAATAAATGTGTTAGGCTTAAGAAAAATGAAAGAGGAGGCTAGTGGCCACTTAAGGTTCATTTACCATAGCATTAAAGGGCAAATGGAATATTACTCATATATCTAAGCACTGTTTTCATTTATATGAAAACCATTTATTTATTGATTTGTCTGCTTTCCAGTTATGAAAAAGAATACCTTAACTCCCATGACTGTTAAAATACGGAACCAATCTCTAAGGGCTTTGGAGGCTTGGGGTTTCCTTGTACAGTCCTAAACATGGGTCCTCAATCATCACCCCAAGTAGGGGCTCGTGAACTTCATGAAGGTGTTTTTGAAATACTAAGAAAATCTCAACTAGAAACCAATTAAGAGCAATTTTACTAGTCAAAAACTCCTTTTAGTAATAAAATTATATTGGAAACATGAAAAATAAAAACAGGATAAGGGTATACTTTTTTTTTAATTGCAAAAGCAGGCATGAGAAACCATCTCTGAAATTTTCTGAAAATTAGGGGACAAAAGCACCCTGTCATTATCCATTTGGAGAGCAAAACACCTACTAGCCAGTAGAGCCAAAGAACCACAGTCTTCTCATTTCTTAAATCTAGAGATCCCTTCTCCATCCCAGACATCTATCCAGGGTTCAACTCCTGCAACCATCTTCTCTTCCTCTTCCCCCACCCTTCCCATCCCCTCATCCCTTTCTTCCTCAGATATCAACTTATTAAGTGGCCCAAAATCCTACTCAAGAAGTGAAAACTGAATTGACAATCAAGTGATAATGAAAAGGTTAAGTCTTGAGAAACATTTTCAAGGATACCTCTGCACATCCGAAAACCCTGTCAAAATTACTAGTGTAACTTTAAAGGATAAGTTAAAGAATATGCTGATACTATCTGTGAGTGAACATCTAGAAGTTTCCATTTCATTACCTGTTCACTATCCTTCAGAGAAATGATGAAGCTATGGCTGAGGGTTTCCAGGTGAGCAAGTGATTTCTCCAGATGATTCAAAGCATCTACAAAGGTAACTTGAGAATTCCTAGCTTCTTGCATGTCATCTTCTGAAGTTCTCTTCCTTGGCTTCTCAATAAAATGTCTGACTGCCTTAATAGCCTTGCTCGTCATCTCTTTCCGTGCTTCCACAGACAGCTTAAAAAAAGGAATTAAACAATAGTGAGATAAAACAACCCTGCATTATTACATATGGCAAATTCAATAAAGTATTAGTGAGGTAGAGAAAAGTGAAATTTTTATATAACTAATGAATACCTTTTTGTTATAAAATTTGTGCTATCAAATGAGTAAAACAGATCTTGTGAAATGGTAAAACTCAAAGCAGGTGATGTGATGAGACCAGTATTCACAGTATTCACCAGTATTGCTGGTTAAAGTACAAAAATTAGGAGTAATTTCTACATTTTTCTGCAAGGCAAGAATACAATTCAACAAATGTGTTAGGTTTAAGAAAAATGAAACCATCTATATTCCCAGGTCTAATCATTTATTATATGAAAATAATTCAAAAGAAGAAAAGAAATACAGGCCTAAATATTTTAACTAACCTAATAACCTAATTGGTAGAAGAAATGGTAACTAGCTTATAATTAATTGATGGTTAGATTATTATGCAGTCACTAAAATTAGAATTATAAAGAGTATAGCAATTTGAAAAATTGGTTAAGGTTTTAGAAACCAGAATAGAAAACTGCTTATATCATATTTACATTAAAACTTAAACTATAACTGTATATAAAATATATGTATTTTATATATTTTGTATTTTTATGAGTATCCCTGATTTGAAATGCTTGGAACCAGAAATGCTTTAGATTTCTTCAGATTTTAGAATACTTGCATTAAACCAGTTCAGTATTCCTAATTCAAAAATCCAAAATCTGAAATGCTCCAATGAGCATTTCCTTTGAGTGTCATGTTGGTACCCCAAAAGTTTCAGATTTTGGAGCATTTCAGATTTTCAGATTAGAGCTACTCAACCTGTATATGCATATAAAATATATGTATGTATAAAAATATACACATTCAGTCATATGCATATACATATATGTGTACGTATACACATAAAATAATGACTATTAAGATGTTGGGATTATAAGCAATTTTTTCTTCTCTACTTTCCAGAGTTTCTTTTTTTACTTTATTTTAAAGATGTGGGGTGAAATTCAGGTTATGTATACAAATGTTCATTATGCAGGTACCCTTGTTGATGAGGTGTGCCCCTCGCTTCCCTGGCAGTTTCTCTCAACTGCCAATCCCACCTCCCCTCCCCTGGGAGTTTCCCACTACTCCCAATCCCTTTCTTATAGTATTATGATAATTGTTCAAGGTCCGCTTATGAGTAAGAACATATGGTACTCTGTTCTTTGTTTCTGTGATAGATCACTGAGTATGACAGACTCTAAATCCATTCTATCACTTCTCGGCCTTTTGGCTAAGATCAAGTGTAAATCCATCCAAGCTGCTGCAAAGTCCATATATTTGTCCTTCTTTATGAGTGTATAATATTCCATTGTGTATATGTACCACTTTTTTTTTTTTTTTAAACCAGACCAGTTTCGACGGGCAGCATGGTTGGTTCCATGTTTTTTGCTATTGTAAACAGAGCTGCAACAAACATGCATGTGCAGGTATCTTTTTGTAGAATGATTTGAGTTTCTCTGGGCATATTCCCAATAGGGGGATTGCTGGGTCATACGGAAGGTCAATTTCTAGTTCTTTCAGAAATCGCCACACTGTCTTCCAAAGAGGTTGCACTAGTTTGCATTCCTACCAGCAGTGTAGAAGCGTTCCTTTTTCTCCACATCCTCGCCAGCTTCTGTTGTATGTTTTATTGATGATGGCCATTCTTACCAATAGTGGATTAGGTGGTATCTCAATGTGGTTTTGATTTGCATTTCTCTGGTGATTAGTGAGGCTAAACACTTTTTCATGTGTCTGTTGGCTGCCTGTATATCTTCTTTTGAAAAGTGTCTATTCAGTCTTTTGCCCACTTTTTAATGAGGCTGTTTGATTTTTTTCTTTTTGGCACATTTGAGTTCCTTGTAGATCCTAGATGTTAGACCTCTGTCAGATATACAGTTGGCAAATATTTTCCCATTCTGTGGGCTGTCTCCCTGCTCTCTTGATGATTTCTTTTACTTTACAGAAGCTCGTCAGTTTGATGAGGCCCCGTTTGTCTACCTTATTGCTTATGATATGGGCACTTAGGGTTTTGATCAGGAATTGATTGCCAATTTCAATTTCCATAAGGGCGTCTCCTGCATTTTCTAGGATTCTTAAAGTTTGAGGTTTTACATTTAGTTCTTTGATCCATTTAGAGTTGGTTTTTGTGTATGGTGATAGGTAGGGGTCTTGTTTCAATCTTCTGAACGTGATCAGCCAGTTTTCCCAGTACCATTTACTGAATAGGTTCTCCTTGCCCCAGTGGTTGCTGTTGGAGCTTTTATCAAAGAGGAGTTGGTTGAGAAATTGAGACTTTGGAATCTCTATTCTGTTCCATCGGTCTATATACCTGTTCTTGTACCAATACCAGGCTGTTTTGATTACTGCAGCCTTATAGTAAAATTTTAACTCTGGAAGTGCAATACCTCCTGCTTTGTTTCTTTTGCTAAGGATTGTTTTGGCTATTCATGGTCATTTTTATTTCCATACGAATTTCTGTCTTGTCATTTCCAGGTCTGAGAAGAATGATGTTGGTAACTGAATGGGTATTGAATTGAATCTGTAGATTGCCTTTGGTAGAATGGACATCTTAACAATGTTGATTCTTCCTATCCATGAGCAGGGAATATTTTTCCATTTGTTTTTGTCTTCTTGGATTTCTTTGAGCAGTGTTTTATACTTTTTGTTGTAAAGTTTTCACTTCTCTGGTTAGGAAGATGCCGAGGTATTTCATTTTTTTGTGTGGCTACTGTGAATGGGATTGTGCTTTTTATTTGGTTCTCTGCCTGCTTGTTGTTGGTGTATAAGAATGCAACTGTTTTGCACATTTATTTTGTACCCTGAGACTTTGCCAAAGGCCTTTATCAGTGCAAGCAGGTTTCTGACGGATTCTTTTGGATTTTCAAGGTATAGGATCACATCATTAACAAAGAGGGATAACTAGCCAGGCTCGGTGGCTCAGCCTGTAATCCCGTGCCTTTGGGAGGCTGAGGTGAGTAGATTGCCTGAGCCAGTGGGTTTGAGACCTGCCTGGGCAACCTGGCGAGACCTCATCTCTACAATAAATAAATAAAAAAATTAGCCAGGCATGGTAGCGCGCACCTGTAGTTCCAGCTACTTGGAAGGCTGAGGCGGAAGGATCGCCGGAGCCCAGCAGGTCAAGGCTGCGGTGGCTGGGAGCGGCTACTGCACTCCAGTCTGGGCGACAGAGTGAGACTCCAACTCAAAAAAAAACAAACAAAAACAAAGAGGGATAACTTGACTTCCTCTTTTCCTATTTGGATACCCCTGATTTTTTTCTCTCATCTAAATGTCCTAGCTAGGATTTCTAACACAATGTTGAACAAGAGGGGTGAGAATGGGCAGCCTTGTCCAAAGTTTCTATAAGAATCCTATATTCGCCGGGCTCGGTGGCTCAGCCTGTAATCCCGTGCCTTTGGGAGGTTGAGGTGAGTGGATTGCCTGAGCCCACAGGTTCGAGACCTGCCTGGGCAGCGAGACCTCATCTCTACAATAAATCAAAAAAATCAGCCGGGTCTGGTAGTGCATGCCTGTAATTCCGGCTACTTGGAAGGATGGTGGATGGATCGCTGGAGCCCAGCAGTTCGAGGCTGCGGTGGCCGGGAGCGGCCACTGCACTCCAGTCTGGGCGACAGAGTGAGACTCCAACTCAAAACAAAAACAAAAACAAAAACAACCCCCCCCAAAACAAAACAAACAAACAAACAAACAAAAAGAACCCTATATTCAACCATTTATTCACAAATGTGTCAGGCAATGTGTTAGCTATGCAGGAGTTATGTTGCTCGAAGACTAAAATATTAAGCCTATTTACCATCAGGAATACAGAATAAAATCTAAACTTTATCCATTTTTTATAAAGGAACCGGACACCTCTGCGCAACTCTGGGTGTCTTCTTAGGCTTGCAGCTTTCGATTCCAGATTTTAGTTACCTGTCAACTACAAAGTACATTTTTACTATATTCTCAAAAGGACTTTGGGTTGATATTTTCAAAAAATAAAGAGTCCTAAGACAAAAATCTTAATTTTTCCTATTTTTAAAAATCAGTCATCCTATGTCTCTAGTTATTCTGAAAAGTGGCTCTAGGCTTAAATACATGGCATCAATGACCATACCAGGGGGTGAACTGCCCCCAGTCCTTCATTTCCTATCCATTCCCTCCATGGCACTCTACACAGAATTATCTTTAAATGTTGATTGGTGACATGTTCTTAATCCCATGTAAGTATGGATAGAGGATAGCTTTAGGAAAGTAGTATTTCCAATGAATTGTAACTAAGGGCTTGCTTTGCAAATGCATCTTCAAAATAAGTTCTGTAGCCTCAACTTCTTACTGGATTTCTGCCTCTAAGGACCTATGGCATTACAAAAATTGGAAGCCCCCTATGACTGACAAGTATTAATTATGTGATTGTCTTCCTTCAAACAAACTGTGAACTCATCTCTGTGCTTTAGAAATACAAGATAACTACAACTGTGTTTAGTTCAACATTCCTCTCCATACTCAATCATGTGGATGAAAAGACTGAGCTCCAGGAAGATTAAGTGATATGTTTGCATTCACTTGGTAAGTGAGAAGAGTAAACACTAGAATCCAGATCGCTTGGTCCCAAGTCAGTGCTTCCTATCATGATACATTACCCAGCCTCCTCACGGTCATTTCTTCAGCCTCACAGGCTCCTAGTGAGTATATATGAGAGAACGTACACTGGTTGAATGCTGAACAAAATCAAGGCTGAATGACAGTCAGTATAGCAGAGTGAATCTTTTATTTCTATTCAACTTATACTTGTTTCCCCAAGAAATATATGTTGAAGACTTATTTGGATATACCAGCTGGCCAAATGTACATACTCTTCCTAGCCTATTGCAGGGTTTGGAAGAGTTTCAACAGATTGGCAAGAAAATAAGGAAAGGAAGCTAGTTCATGTGAAGTAGGGTCCAGGG